CACCCTATTTTTCTGAAGGCAAGAAAGGAAGGGGACAGCTGGGCTCTGTGGCCCAGGCCTGTAACCTCAGCTACTCAGGAGGCAAAGATAAGGAGAACAGCAGCTTAAGGTTAGCCTGGACAAAAAGTTAGCAAGACCCCATATCAATGAAAAAAGCTAGACCTGCACACCTTTTCCCTCATATGTCAAATATAGGCTCAATATAAATACAAGCAATATTATGAAAAGGGCCACACTAAGGGGAAGTCACTAACAGGAGAGGGAGGGTAAAAGAAAGGAAGTTAAGAAGGTGAATGTGGTTGATGTACTTTCTACACAAGAATGGATATAGAATTTTTAAACCTGTTGAAATCACCATAAGAAGAGGACTAAGGTAGAAAGGAAAAGAACAGAGAGGATGAACCAACTGGAGTTATAATACATATATACATGGAAATGTCACAATGAAAATCCCTATATATAGCTATCTTATACAAACAAAAAATGTCTTTTATCAAAAGCAAAGAACAGGAAGGTAAAACAGGTCTGACTGGGGGCTGGTACCAGTGGGAGGGGGAGGACACAAGGAAAGGGAGTAGGAGGGTGAATATGGTGGAAATGTCACGTACAGTTGTATGAAAATGGAAAAATGAGACCTGTTGAAACTGTTCAAGGAATGGGAGGAGGGAGAGATGAAGGAGAATGATGGAGGGGTGAATTTAAGATACTGTAAGCACTTTTGTAAATGTCACAATATATCCCCAGTACAACAATCATAAAATAATAAAATAAGTAGTTTAAAAAAAGAAAAGAAATGCTAGGCCTGGTGGTACAAGCCTGTCATCCCAGCTGTGTGGGAAGCTTACATAGGAGGATCGTGGGCCAGGCCATCCTGGGCAAAAAACCCAAGAGGCCGTAACTAAAAAATAACTGAAGGAAGAAAGGGCTGGTGCCTTGGCTTGAGTGGTAAAGTGCCTGCCTAGCAAGTGTGAGACCCGGACTTCAAACCCTGGTACTGCCAAAGATATAAAAATAAAAATCCAATTATATGTTGTTTTAAATGAGACATAACTCCCTCCCCACCACCAAGAGACATATCCCAAGCACAAGGATACAGAAAAGTCAAAGGAGAAGGTTATAAGAGGAATGGATTGTAACTATAAGAAAAAAGTGAAAAGGCATGATTTTTCTGATAAAATATGTTGTCCTACTTCACTGTTAAGAAGAAGGAAATTATATAATGATGAAAGCCTTTTTCTTTAAAACCAGAAGATCGATTCTAAGCTGTTAGTGAACCTAAAGACATAGACAGATAGATATCGATATGAATCTGCAGTAACATCAATATTTACATGCTCATATAACAAAGGCAGAACTACAGGGAAATTGACAAATTCACTATTATATAGAAATATTTTAACATAAATTTGGAATGGTTGAGAGGATCAAGCAGATAAAAAATTTGATAAAGATATGGAAGACATGGCTCCAACAGTTATCAAGCACTTCCTGTTAGACATATAGTGAACCCTATACCTAAAACCACTTAGATAAACACTATTAACTTTATTTCCAAATTTATTAAAATTAGGCATATACTAGGCTAAAAGCCAAGCCTTATCAGATGTCAAAGTCAGTATAAAACAGATTAATCCAAGTAGCCAAGGAGACTCATAAGAGCAAAAAATTTAAACTTAAAACTGAATGATGGGGCTGGAATGTAGCTCAGCGGTAGAACACTTGCCTAGCATGATGGAGGACCTGGGTCGAATACCTAGCACCACACACACACACACACACACACACACACACACACACACACACACACACATATATACACACACACATACAAACACATACACACACAAACACACACAAACACACATACATCCGCACACACAGACACACCTACAGATACATACACACATACACATGCACAAATGCGCACACACATATGCACATGCACACACATACACACACGTACACACACATGCACACACATACGTGCGCACACAGACACACAAATATACATACACACGCACATACATGCACACATACACATGCATATGTACACGCACACACGTGTACACATACCCATACGCACACAGAGACACACACAAAAACACACACATACATGCACACATACATACAATATACACAGGCATACACAGACACACATACACACACGTACACATAAAAACACGTACACATACACAAACATACACATACACACAGACGTACATACAAATACACACATACACATACACACAATGCACACACATATACACACATACAAACATACACACACATACACATACACCCACAGTCACACACACACGTACATACAAATACACACACATACACACTACACAAAAACACGCACATACATACAATACACACACATAGACACATACACACACAGACGTACATACAAATACATACACCCAATACACACAGACACACACACACGTACAAATACATACACACACGTAGACACATGTACGTACACACACACGTACACATACACACACACACACACACACACAAAAGATGAAAATACCTGCAAACAGTGCTGCTTGTTATGGCTTGAGTAGGTAAAATCCCCCACCAGCTCATGTATTGAAGGTGTGGTACCCAGCTGATGGTGCCATTTTGGGGAGGTGGTCAAAGAGGAGGTGGGCCTAGCTGGAAGAAGTAGGACACTGGAGACAGGAATACTGGGGGCTCTGCCTTGTCCCTGGCTCTTCTTCCTGTCCTTCTCTGCTTCCTGTCTGAAGTGAGGTGAGCTGCTTTGCTCTACCATGTCCCCAGTGCTATGATATTCTGCCTTGCCTCTGGCCCAAAGCGATGGAGCCAGCCAACCATGGGCTGAAACCTCTGAAACCATGAGCTAAAATCAATCTTTCTTCCTTTAAACTGTTCCTCTTGGGTATTTGTTACAGCAGTGAAAATGCACTGTGGATTGCAGATAGCCTGATACGCAGAGGCAAATTAAGAATTTTGTTTATTAAGCTAAATGTCTGAAGTTAATGAGTTGAATAACAAACTATATATTAGTAAAAGAATGGAAAAGAGTAACAAGTCATTCCAATTTTAGATGAATTCCTTCAGAAAGAACTAATACACTATGACTCATTTTAGGAGGCCAATATATCTAGATCAATACATCATGAGAGCCGGGCGCCAGTGGCTGACACCTATAATCCTAGCTACTCAGGGGGCAGAGATCAGAAGGATCGCAGTTTGAAGCCAGCCCAGGCAAATAGTTCTCAAGAATCTATCTTGAAAAAAAAAATCACAAAAAAAAGGACTGGTGGAGTGGCTCAAGGTGTAGGCCCTGACTTCAAGCCCCACTACCACACATTAAAAAAAAAAAAAGAAACATGAGAAAGGAAACTTTCATTTATGAACGTGCATTTGTGTGTGTGTGTGTGCACTGGGATTTGAACTCAGGGCTTCATGATTGCTAGGCAGGCATTCTACGGCTTGAGCCCCTTCATCAGCCCTCAACATGCATTTTTTTAAAGCTAGGAAATCAATACAGCAATTTTTTAAAAGCTTAAACACATCATAAACAAGTTTAGATTTATTCTTGGATGGCAAGCAAGTCCAGTTATAAAGAAGGCAATTTTGAAATTAATCTATAAATTAAATGCAATTCCAGTCAAAATCCCAAAGTCTTTCTTATATAGATCATGACGAGCTGATTTTTAAAGGTTTTATAAAAGAGTAAAGAGCCCAGAATAATCAAAAACAATTTTGAAGAAGAACAGGTTCGGGGGGAGTAGGAGGGGCTTCCCTATTATTATAAAGCCTATTTGTATCTTATTATAAAATAACAGTAATTGTGAGAATGTGCTTTAAACAGTGATAAACGTAGCACACTGAACAGCCCATAAGCCTACCCACCTGTGAGCAGTTTCTTAGAAACTACTGGAGGGTGTGCTTCATCAAAATAAGGGAGGAAAACAAGAAAGAAGAAAACATAGAAAGCAGGAAATGGGCTCCAACACTGAAGCATTTCTAAATGATGACAGAAGGCCCACTGCTGATTTCAGTAGACATTTGGAAGAGTCCATTAGAAGATTCCAAGAAGGAACTAAAATTGAAACTTCTGATGGTTTTGTGGGGAGAAGGGCAATTGAACCTGGGCTTCATGCATGCTAGGCAAATGCTCTACCACTGAGCTCTCCCCTGCCCTTGAAAGACATTTTACAGAAGTATGACAGTGTGAGAAGTCCTTATCTCATTCACAGCTCTATCCTACACCCCAGAGCCTGGCACATGGTGAGCACTCAGAAGACCTGGCTAAATGATAAAGCACACCGTGGAAAACAGGAGGATGCAATAGATGCAGGAAACAAGGGACATTTGAAAACATCATGCAGTGTTTGGGAGCAGTTTCCTTGGGGGTCAGTGGTGGGAGATGTACAAGTACGGATCACAGAAGATGTAGTTGTCCATGACCTCCTTGATTAAAATCAGGACTGCTGCCAACAACCACCATCTCGATGACTGCCAGTTACTAGATTCCAAACTTTGACGGCAGATGATTCTATTCCATTTATTCAGTAGTTAGCAAACTCCTCCTGTGTGTCCAGCAGTAGGCCAGAAGATGGGATTTTAATGATGTGTACAGTGAGGTATGTTCTCTGTCTTTATGTCAGTCTGATCTTTCTGTTAATAATGTTCAGAATACAGGCATTTTGAATATGTGTATCTGACCTGAAATATTTTCTAAGCTTGGATTCACTCTAATGAAATACAGTTTTTTTTTGTTTTGGTTTGGTTTTGGTGGTACTGGGGGTTGAACTCAGGGCCTTGAGCTTGCTATGCAGGCACTCTACTACTTAAGCTATTCTACCAGCCCTATAAAGATGTTTAAACACACACTAATTTTGGACATTGAAATCGCTTTTCACTTTACCAGAAGTTATGTAGGCCATGCTTCATGGCAGGTCCTGTTCTGTATTACCAGGCATGGCTCCCTCTCACCTTCTCTTCTTGATGTCCTTTTTCAGGGGTTGTGTTTGCACACTATGGTCCAGTCTGGAGGCAGCAGAGGAAATTCTGTCACTCAACTCTTCGTCATTTTGGCTTGGGAAAGCTTAGCTTGGAGCCCAAGATTATTGAGGAGTTCAAATATGTGAAGGAGGAAATGCAGAAGCATGGAGAAGACCCTTTCAGTCCATTCCCCATCATCAGCAATGCTGTCTCTAACATCATTTGCTCCCTGTGCTTTGGCCAACGCTTTGATTACACCAACAGTGAGTTCAAGGAGCTGCTTGATTTTATGTCTCGAGGGTTAGAAATCTGTCTGAACAGCCAGGTCCTCCTGGTCAACATATGCTCCTGGCTGTATTACCTTCCCTTCGGACCATTTAAGGAATTAAGGCAAATTGAAAAGGATATAACCATCTTCCTTAAAAAAATCATTAAAGACCATCAAGAGTCTCTGGATGGCGAGAACCCTCAGGACTTCATAGACATGTACCTTCTACACATGGAGGAGGAGAAGAGAAATAATAGCAACAGTAGTTTTGATGACGATTACTTATTTTATATCATTGGGGATCTCTTTGTTGCTGGGACTGATACCACGACCAACTCTTTGCTTTGGTGCCTGCTATATATAGCACTGAACCCTGATATACAAGGTAATTAGCAGGTATTGGTGAAACCAGGTTATTTAAATCAGGAAGAGCAACCTCCATGATCTGCTGGCTACAAGCACTAATGCCACCAGGCTGGAAACAAAATCAGTACTTTCATAGGGAATTGGTGAGATGTTAACAGTGACACCTCAAGTTTCTAGATGGTAGGGCTGGTGTTGTAACTTGATCATCCCTGCTTTCATCTCTGTATGTTTGATTCTGTGTGAAATCTATGACAGTGAGAGCCTTTTCTAGAAGTAGGACATTTTAGAGCTGAAGAGATCATAATGCTCATCTGATCAGACCCATTAGTCTTGTTTTAAAGTAGAAAACAGAGGCCCAGAGAAGTTTGCAAAAGTCGCACAGCTAGTCATACCACATTGTACCAACAGACGGTGAATGTCAGCGGCACTAAACAGTGTATAAACGGGAGGATAGTGTGTTAGCGTCCGTTACTATACACTTGGCCACTTAAAACAACACAAGTCCCACTGGACTGAGAATCAGGATGCTGGCAGGCTGTGTTCCTCTGTGGAAGCCCTGAAGGAGAGAGATGCACTCTGTTGCTCTTTCTAGCCTCTTGGGCTTATGACCTGTGCTCCATCTTCAGACACAGTTGTGCTGTCTCTCTGGCCAGATTCCACAGTCACATCTCCCCTGACTCACACCTCAACAGGAGGTTCTCTGATTTAAAAACCTATGTGTAGTCAGACATCACTTAATGAAGGGGTATGCTCTGAGAAATGTCGTTAGGTGATTTCGTCACTATGCATACATCACAGCGTACTTAAGCTAAGACTGTTACGTCACCCAGCAATATAACCCTATGGGACCATTCCCATATGTGCACTCTCCTTAGATTGTATATACCAGGTAACCCAGGAAAATCTCCCCACCTCTCCATCCTCAATTTAGACAGATCAGGGTAGTCCTTTTGGCCATGTGCTCTGGTTTGGATATGGTTTGAAAGGGTCCCCCAAAGGCTCATGTGCTAGAAGTTTGGTCCTCAGCATGGTGGTCGTGGTGGGATAGTAGAACCTTTAAGAAGTAGCTCCTAGAACAGGTAATTAGGTTATGGGGAGCACCTTCTAGGGGACTGTTGTTCTCATAGGACCCCAGTTACCTCTCACAAGAATGAGTTGTTATAAAAAGAGCAAGGTCAGCCCCTGAATCCCTCTGGCTTCCTACTTGCCATGTGATCTCCCCTTCTCATGTGCTCCCCTGTCATGGTGTTACCCATCTGCTGCATTCTAACACAGCCAAGGGGGTCTTTTTTAGAAACCAAACAAATAGGGCTGCCTGATCTTGGACTTTCAGCCTCTAAAACTGTGAGCTTAGCCTACTGCTTTCTTTATCAATTATCCAGCCACAGTTACTTTGTTGTAGTAACAGAAAATAGACTAAGGCACTTTGCAAATTATCATATTTACAAAGTATCAGGGAGGTTAGTGTGCAGATATCTGTCTACCATGGATGGCATTGTGGCTATCTATATTAGTAATATATTGCTGAGTAAATTATCTCAAAATTTAGCATCCTAAAACAACCACCATTTACTATCTCATAGAGTTCTGAGAGTCAGGAATCCAGGAGTGGCCTAACCTGGATGATTCTAGTTTACAGTTTCTCATGAAGTTGCAGTCAAGGTGTTGCCCAGGCTGCATTCAGCTATAGACTTGACTGGGCCTGAAGGATCCACCTCTAAGATGCTGTCCACATGATACTGGTCATGGGCCACAGTTCCTAGCACCCTGACCTCTCCCTAAGGCTGCTTGACTTAGCATCTACCCTCCTCCCAGGTGAGTGGTGAGAGAGGGAGAAAGACAGGGCAGAGAGAGAACAGAAGCTACTAATCTCAGAAGTGACATGCCATCACTTCTCCCTCCTTCTGCTGGTGACATAGACCAACTTGGTACAAAGTGGGAAGGGAACACACTTTCCATTTCTGTAATAAAACACATGCAATAATCACATTATATGAAGAGAAGTTTTATATTGGCTCATGGATTCAGAGGTTTCAAAACATGGATGGTGGGCTGTGTTGCTTTTGGGCCTGTGGTGAGGCAGCACATCATGACAGGGAGCTCAAGGTGAAGCAGAGCTCTCCTCCTGGCAGGAATGCAAAAGAGAAAGAGGAAGGGCAGGTGTCTCACCATTCTCAAGGCAATTCCCAGTGACCTAAAACCTCCTCCTGGGCCCTGCCTCTTAATAGCATCACTCTGGGGACCAAACCTTTAACTCATGGGTCTTTGGGGGGATGTTCTTGACCCAAACTATAACAAAGCCCACAAGCAGGGATCACCAGGGGACACCTTGGGCTATTCCATGCTGTCATGGCTTAATAATCTGTAATTATTAAATATACCAAATTGATGGTAAAACGTCTAGACCCCAAAACCCATTAGTCCCAGATGGTTTTCAGGTGACTTTTATCAAAATGTCACATTCACGTGACAGAGTGATTCAGAGTGCTCCTGAATCCAAACTGCTTTCTCCTTTGCTCCTCTATCTGTTCTGCTATCCTACTTTAAGTCCCAGCAGGCATAGGTCCCCTGGTGCCAGCTGCCTCCACCTGGCGTGTCTGGCCACTGCTGCAGTTCCCTGAAGCTAAATTGGGGCTGCACTGCCCACCAATCCCTTGTGCGTGAGTGGTAATGGGAAGTGTGCGCAGAGTGCATGTTCGGCTCTTCCAAGCTGATCTTCTGTTTTTTTCTTTCCTTTCTTGCATAGAAAAGGTTCATGAAGAAATTGAAAGGATCATTGGTTGTGACCGAGCCCCTTCCATCACAGACAAGGTCCACATGCCCTACACAGAAGCCACCATCATGGAGGTGCAGAGGCTAACAGCGGTGGTGCCCCTCGCCATTCCTCACATGACCACAGAAAACACAGGCAAGTCCAGGGTCTCCCTCTTCTGATTGCCTTTGAGGGGCTCAGCCTCCTAACCCAGCGCTGCTGAGCAGAGGGGTGTAGTGAGCATCGCCACTAGCATTCTGTCACAGATGACGCGATGTCCAGGGAGCGTTTCAGCCCTTAATTATCCATTACTAGTTGTGCATTCTAGCATATTTAATCAGTGGATCTCCAGCCTCCAGAGCATACAAATATATACCCATAAGACAAATGATGCCACAACTTAAATCGCCTGAGTTGGCAGAAAAATCTCCACAATTAACAAAAGTGCCTCTAGTGCTCTTCGTGGAAGTCAGAAGACCTAATTTAAATGTGCAATTAATGATTTTAGCTGGAAGTTACACTATTTCAATTTTTAAAATCCTGCAACCAAAGTATAAGTATTAAAAAGTTAGAAGGAGCCCATCTGACTCTAGGGTTACCCATTTCAACCTCTCACCTACAGTGAAACATGTCTTTAAACATCCCTACTAAGAAGGAATTTGCCTTGTGCCAGGTGTGGTGTTACTCACCTGTAATCCCAGTTTTGGGGATGCTGAGGCAGGACAATCTCAAGATTGAGGGCAGCTTGGACTATATAGTAAAATCCTATCTCAAAAAAGAAAGGAATTTATCCCTTCTGGAGATAGTCTGTAATGTAACAGGCTCAAATGTGTTACAGACTGTTGTAGGAGGCAGTTGCTCACTCAAGTATATTTTGGTGTAAACTGGATCTACTCCGATGTGCTGTTTTCTTTGGGGCACTGTCTGGAGTGCACATTCACCTGTCTGCCCCTAAGAGCCAGGTCTGGCTTCCCTGCACCTCCCTTTATCTTACCTACCGTCCTCATTGTACTGTTGTGCGCACACTCCGTTAGGTTTTATACAAACCTCAGGAATTTTCTTTCTTAGAGAAAGCTGACCTGGAGTACCCTACGATTTCTGTTTCGATGTTCTCTCTTAATTGTAACGTTTTTAGGATCTTACTGAGCTCATGAGCTCAGCATCCAGGAGAGCATCTTCTGTGCCCTACCTCGGGCTCGGCTCCGGATGCCCGCTGACAAGATCTTAACCCTGCCCTCAGGTACCTCAGAGCTAGACTTCGCCAATGAAGATGCTTAGCATGGAACAAGATTTATCTTCCCAAATAGTGGCGTTTCGAGAGAACCATCAAGCATGCTGGATGACACCGTGTTTCCTGTCTGTCTTTTGTTATAGTGCTCCAAGGGTACAGCATTCCTAAAGGCACAATGATCTTACCCAACCTGTGGTCAGTACACCGAGACCCAACCATTTGGGAGAAACCAGATGATTTCTATCCTGACCGATTTCTGGATGATCAAGGACAACTTTTAAAAAAAGAAACCTTTATTCCTTTTGGGATTGGTAAATTAAACCTTTGTTTTTTAATGGCATATTTTTTTTTAAAGTGCTATGGGCTAGGGGTGTAGCTCAGGGGCAAAGTGCTTGCCTTGCATGTGTGAGGCCATGGATACCTAGCACTGCTAAGAAGAAAAAGAAAAATTAAAAAAAAGAAAAACAGTTGGCATTTAGTCCATTTACTTATTATTGGCAGTACGGGGGGTTTGAACTCAATGCCTTAAGCTTCTAGGTAGGCACTCTACCACCTGAGCTATGCCTCCAGTCCCTGGCTTCTAATCTTTGTAACTAGAAATCCTCCTCTCCAGGCTGCCTATCTAATTGTTTGGGTCCCAGGGAACTACTAGAATTAAGGACAACTTTTGATCTTCTGTCAGTCTGTCGGTGAGGAAGGCTCTCTAATCTCATCAGACCCTTCTTTTAAGTTCCTAGATAAGACATGGAATTGTTGCTGTGGCAAAGGAAGGCTCCAGAGACCCTAATCTAACTCTCCCCACCCCCAACCTCCCAGTTGACAGTAAAGGATGGAGATGAGCTGGCATGGTGGAGGCAGGACGGCTGCCACATTGGATCTGTCTGTAGTTCTGTCTACAAAGGGATCGTTTCTGATGAGTAGAGTGAAATGTGACTTGCTGTGTAAAAATTCTGATCAACACATACTGCAGAAGACTTTGGCTTATGTGGCAATTTTATTTTAAAGCTATCTAGGAAAGCACTTAAGCTTCTCAATTTAGATGTGTCATATAAATTTGTACTTTTTAAGGTAGGAAAAGCCGTAACGTTGTTTCTTTCTGATCTCACCTTTAGGGAAGCGGGTGTGTATGGGCGAACAGCTGGCAAAGATGGAACTCTTCCTAATGTTCGTCAGCCTGATGCAGAGCTTCACATTTGCTCTGCCCAAGGACTCGCAGAAGCCCATCCTGACCGGGAGGTTTGGTCTAACCTTAGCTCCCCATCCATTTAATATTATCACTTCAAAAAGATGAAGAGCACCTCCCAGAGGAGAAGGTAAACAGCTAAACACACGTCCTTCTAAACAGACTCTCTCCACTGCTGTTGACAGAGAGTTCAGCAACTCAGCATCCAGGGTAGGCTCAGATTAGAAAGCCAGTGGGGAGAGGGTGGAGCACACATCTTGGAAGCTTCCTCAGCAGGACTCTGCAGCCATTGTAGGATGCATGCCTGTGACTGTCACAGTGCCCACCCAGAAGGTGAACCCCACACTTAGATGTAGTGGCTTCCGCCAATGGGTGGACCTTAAACCTCTCAGAGCCTCCACCATCAACAGTAAACTGAGGGTCAAGAAACTGATTCTCCCTACTGCTCAGCAATAAGGAGGGCCTAACTTCTGTGACATTACCAAAATGCTGTTATGTACATTCTGGGGAAGAAATTCAGGAGAAGATCTACTCACTGGCTTTTTAACACCCCTGACAACATGCAGGTATGGTGTTCAGCCTTGAACACTTTGTCACACAGGGATGTGGGCTTACGTTATCTTGAAGTAGGACTTTTTATTTTAATAGCACAGATTCTATGTCAGTTTCTTTGGACTTGTTCTGCTATTGGTATCTTTTGAGTTACGGTTTTTGAGTTTTTACTTTTTGTAGATATGAGATGAAATGGACTCCTGTCCAGTATATGGAAAAAAAATAAGAGTTTTTTAAAAATCCTCTATAAGGTTATTATCTAAATGTATGTGTCTTTGCCAGGTGCTGGCAGCACACACACATAATTCTAGCTACTCAGGAGGCAGAGATCAGGAGGATTGTGGTTTGAAGTCAGCCTGAGCAAGTAGTTCATGAGACCCTATCTCAAAAAAACCCATCACAAAAAAGGACTGGTGGAGTGGCTCAAGGTGAAGGCCCTGAATTCAAGCCCCAGTACCATTAAATGTATGTGTCTTCTTTCTACTTCATGTTCACGAACAGAGAGCTGGACTGAAGAAGAGACTTCATGGCACGGTTCCACCTGCTGAGTTTATTTGCAAAGATGCATCTCCACCTTGAGTCCTCCATGGTGAGCTTGGGAATTTTGACACTGGAATTGATCAGGAAAGGATTCTTTTTCTCAATTTATAGTGAACCTTCTTGTCCTGTTCTCACTGTCCCAGGCCCAGTGTGTCTGGTCCCTGAATACTCTCCAGGACAGGAAGGCTCTTCTTCCTTGTTAAGAGAACAGTACTATTTCCTAATAAAGGGGACCCTCCACACAAACAGTTCTCAGCAGGGGCAGGGATCCCTTCTGGGGCCATTGCAATTTTCAGCCACCGTAACAATGGGGGGCTCTGACCTTTTGTGGCCATGGAACAAGGATGCTAAATGGCTAAACATTCCTACGTCATTAAGGATTGTCTCCGTGAGACATGCTCCAAAGAGTGGCCCTTGGTTCCATTCTTGGGCATTACTCTGTAGGTGGAGCCATTGATCGTGGTTCCTCACTCTGGCGCCATGCTTAATGCTATGTAATTCTCATGGTAGGAGGGCAGCTTGTGGCTGATCAAACTGAGGCCTAGGACTTACAAAGTGCCCTTGCTGGGTGTCAGCCTCCGAGTCCTGGTGACGGGAGAGCGCTTTCTGAGCCGCCTTGATCCTGCAGTGGTGTCCGTGACTCCTTGCCTCTCAGTGCCTTGCTCTTGGTGGACACCTGTGCACATGTGAGTGACTGTTAAGAAGGGTCCTTACCAGGAAGATCCCATGCCATTTGAATACCTACAGGTCATATTTTTGTTGTGCAAAGATGATGTAAAAAAAAAACCAAACAGCGTATGTTATTTGTTAATGGCAGTTTAAGCCAGATTTTTTTTTTAATTACTAGATCTTGGTCATCATTGAGAGCAATCATTTTAAACAAACTTAAAATGGTGCCTGAGCTGTTCAAAGGTCACACAGAACATAAAAAAGATTGAAATGCAGAGGAAGGGAGGAGCTGCTGAGCCTGAGCACCTCGGTGGAGCCTCCTGGGACTTACTACCCTACCCTGCTCCGTTTCTTACCAGATCCCCAGCCTTGACTTCTGCATCTGTCCTTAGCTGTGGTGGCTTAACCTTCTAAGTGCATGGATGCCATTCCAGACAGTCCCCTGTGAGAGGCCATGCTTTTCCTTTGACTTGCACATTCCTAGGCAGACTTCTGCATGCACCAGAAATGGAAATAACAGCTACTTAATAAAAACCTAGTAAAATGAAGAAGAAACATTGATTTGTTTTTCACCCTGCATTCTTTTTTTTGGTGGTACTGGGTTTTGAACTCAGGGCCTCATGCTGCCACTTGAGCCATGCCTCTAGCTCTTTTTTACTTTGTAGGTATGGTAATAGGGTCTCGCTTTTCCTCCAGGCTAGCCTCAGTCCACAGTCCTACATATGCTTCCCATGTAGCTGGGATTACAGGTAGGTACCACCATGCCTGGCTTGTTTATCGAGATGGGAGTCTCACTTTTTGTCTGGGGTGGCAGCAAACCATGATCTTCCCAATCTCTGCATGCACTACCATGTCTGGCCCTTGACTATGCAATCTTTGTATTATCTACTGTACCATTCTTCCTTTTTATAAATATAATTGAGCACTTCACATAAGTGAAATACAGGCTAATTTTTAGAGGCCTTGAGGATTTTTGTTTTTTATAAAAGAAAAAATAAAGATGAAATGGAGAGGAACCAAGTGAATGGGGAGGCTGTGTAGATTTCAGATGAGGTGATACATGTGTAGATCATACCATACCCCCGGCAGGACAGTTTGTTCCTGACAGGAAATTCAAATGCCTTTGAATTGTACTAATAACTCAACCTTAGTGAGTTTCTTACTCCAATTTGTACATAGATTTCCAGTATTCCTAACCAAAGAGTTTGTAGCTTACTTGAAATAAGAACTCCTGCCTTCTGTGAGATGCCAGCAGAGTCAGAAGTTTGTCAAGCTTTTAATAATGCCTCAAACTGTAGCACTTTTCAATATGTTTATATGGACATCTCTGAAAGGACCATTGATGCTTCTCTCCAGTGACATTTTATGATTCTTCACTTCCTGGTTTATCAGCAATCTGAAAATAATTGTGCTGTATGAGTCTACCTAACATTTAACTTTTAGTTCACATGCTTAGCAGTTTCTGGTGTTTTTATTAAACTTTTATTTTAACAGAGAGTGTGTCATGACTGGTTTGTTTGTTTTAACCAAATGTCAAGTTAGAAAATGGAGAAGGAACAGACCTTCGAAGAAGGGTGGCCACAAAAAAGTATAGAAGAAGTTATCAGAGAGGAGAAAATTCCTTTTGCACATGCCTTCAGAGGGAGGCTACTCAGGATTATAGCAGAAGACACTGAGGCACACATGGTGGAATCCCAGTTCTCCTACACCTCACATGAAAGCTCAGCACACCTGAGAGAAGGCTGACCTATGTAAGCCATTGTGCAGACTACTAAATGCTTGTCCCCTGAAGTCACACAGGGGACGCCTTTTGGGGCCAATGACCCCTGATCAGGGGCTCCTGGGAGTAGCAGATGCTGGATGAGACTCTCGAAGTTCTCTTACCTGCTTTATAGCTGGTCCACCAAAGAAAAATGCACCTGCTTTCCATCTTTATCTAAAAATGTCACTACTCAAGGAGACTAAGTTCCTGATGTAGAAGAAGAGACTGAAAATCAAATAGCACAGAGGAACTTTGTCCCCAGTCATCATCTATTCTTTGGATCCATTCTTCTCTATGAGTCATGTATTGCCCCTCTGAGATTTCGTGCTGCCCCATTTTCCCCTCCCCCATGAAGAAGGGTGTAAAAACTTCCTAGCCTCACTGGAACATTGGCTCCTCCTCACCTTGATGTGATATCCCCGACATGTAAGTAAATGTGTAGCTTTCTGTCCTGTTGGTCTAGTTAGTTTATTCCAGCAGACTTAAAGATGTAAGCCTTCAGTGAGGAGGCAGAAAAGTCCCTCCTGTGTGGATGAGCCCCCTGCTGGCTTTTCTCACTGCCTCTCTTCCTCTCACCTCAAAATGGACTTTCACCACATTCCTGTCTTAAAGTGGCCTTTCCTGAGGACTCCCTACTCTCATCATCAGTTATTTCCTCCAGAACCCTCACCACTGTCATGACCCTGTTTATCAAAACCCTCGGTGTCTGTCATCTCTCCCACCTCCCGTCCAAGAGGAACCAAGACTGGCTATGCTGGATCCCTCATAGTGCAGGGGCCTTACACAGTGCAGGCATGCAGTAACTGCTGGAAGAATGAAGAACAAAGTGAGTTTGAAGGAAGGTCATCAACCCTGGAGGCTCGAGAGATGATAACCTGTCTTCTGTCTTCCCCAGCTCAGTGACTGTGACTGACTGTTGCCAGAGTATGCAGTAGTGACATAAGGCACACAGTAAATATAATACTTTGGCACCTTCAGGTCTGCTTTAGTTTTGCTGCAGTGGTTTTAGAAACAAAGTTCACTCAAGTGGAGTATCTGCTCACTATAGATTTGGTTTTCTTTGCTAAGTGCTTAATTTTATTGAACTATTACCACAATTGAAGTAATACTTTAGCTGGGTGCAGTGGATCACGCCTGCCATCCCAGCTGCATGGGAAGCACAGTAGGAGGATCATGGTCCTGGCTGGTCTGGGCAAAAATGTGAGCCCCACCCTGAGAAATAGCTAAAGCCAAAGGGGCTGTCGGTATGGGTTAAGTGGTAGGGCGGCCAGGCAGGCGCTTCAAGGTGGCTGGCCTCCGGCCAGGGGTTTGGGTCAAGTTGCCAAGTATTCGGAAGCCTGTCATCCTCTAGGTCAGTTCCCTCTCCTATTCTTTCAGTTATCATTGGAATCAAATCATTCTGGTCACAAAGAATTTCATTCTTATCTAATCATTTCTAGAATATTCCATAGAGTTTACTTTAAGGCCTGGCATAGTCAAATATAAAATTGTACTGAGGGGTGCTCATGTTTTAAAATACTTGTGAAGATGCATTTCATTTACAGTAAGTGATTCTTCACAATTCAACATGGGATGGTAAGTCATACCCTGAAGTTTGTGAAACACCATTTAATTACATAACTAAAGATTTTGTCCACAAAATCCCCAAGTTCAAACCCCAGCACAGCCAAAAAAAAAACTTTAATATGAATATTTGAGGGCTTCCCCAGTTTTCATTAAGGGATGAGGCTAATTCAGCAAAGCATGGTGAACATTAAACTTCTTCACCTGTTCCTCAAGGATTTCATGCCCAAGATTTCTTTATTTAGAGACGACATTGTGTTTTATTGTTGTGCTGGATGGGGGGTACATTGTGGCATTTGCAAAAGTTCTTACATCAAATATATACTTGAGTTCACCCTCTCCACCACTCTCCTTTATTCCCCCTTTCCTGGAATAGTTCCAACAGGTCTCATTTTTCCATTTTCACCCATGTGTACACAGTATTTGCACCATACTCACCCTCCTTCACCATTTCCCTACCTCCTCCTCCCTCCCACTGGGACCAACCCTCCAGGAAGGACCTGTTCTGCCCTCCTGTTCTCCAATTTTGTAAAAGAAAAAAATGACACTTTTTAAGATAGTGACAGGGAGTTTCCCTGTGACATTTCCATGTAGATATGTATTGTAACTCAGATTGGTTCATCTCTAGAGGCAATATTGTTAATAGTGCATCTAGATATTTTATATTTTATACATATGTTAACACTGCTGCATTTAGCAGATCCTTGGAAGCATGTTTTAATAAGAAATGCCAGGAAAAAAATAACTCCGAAGTAATCTCGCCAACTTCATTATTGTCAGTTTAAGCTGTTATTTTAAATGTTTACGGTAATTGACTTCAAAGGCCCCAGTGGAAATTTAATCCTTCCATTCTTTAAGAAATACTCTCTAGAAGTAATCTGTGGTTTTAATGGATTATTCTGTTTTGTTTTGAACAAGTTTGGAGACTCAATGTTTGCAATGAGAATTATCTTTGGTCATCACAGTTCTCAGAATAGTTTTCAAGCTTGTTGAAATCCCACAAGCTTGGTTTGATCCCTTCATAATATGGTGCCCCACTGTGGAAGCAGAGTTCATTTAAATATAAGCACCCAGTTCTCCAGATGTGCCTCTCAGGACACAGGAACCACTGTCCTGAGCAGGCCAACAACCTCAATAGGCTCTAACAGAAGGAGGCTTATTGGTGTAAAAAGGCATGCTTTTCTTCAGGAGTTATTTTTATTTATATCTCAGCTACATGTGGATAAATGCTCAAAAAATGAGCCAATCTCACGCAGCCAACACTCATATCAAGAATGATCCATAACTGGGGTCATGTGTGCCTGGGGCTGGAGGAGGAGGACCAGCTCCAGGCCCATACTTCTATGGTAATACTGGGATGCCACTGGCCAGAGTGGCCTTCACCTGCCTGGAATATCTCATATTCTTAAGGGTTCCTGTGTAAATCTGAGGTGGCAGTTTATGTAAAGGAAACACTGGGACTTGTGGCCACACCCTTCAAGAATGAGAAAACTAGAAAGTGGAACAACTGTGTTTGTTATGTGAGGAAGACCTAGATGATCCAGAACCAGAGAAGAGATTAAAAGAAGCCAAAGACATAGGTGATGAGGATTCCAAGCAGATCTTTGTTGGAGTAACTTCAAATTCAAAACCAGTGGTTTCAAACGTTTTGAACAGAGTCACCCCAGGTTCATGTTCAAGGAGATAAAAGTATGTTCGCCTTAGAGAAGATAATGCTCACAGAGGGCAGCCTACACATCCTATGGTCCCTACATCAGAAATAGGGGCTGTCTTGCCAGCATCTCCATCTGAATCAAGTTCAACAGTTAGTCCTATTATTATTGAGCCTTTGTCAAAAGCTGATGATAAAAAATAATTCACCACAAGTCATATCTAATAGCTCTTCAGAGTTGTGCTCTCCTGCAGCCACATTCACAAGTTCATTGCATCATCCAGTAAGAGCAGCGCTTTCAGAAGGAGGTGTGAATGAAAGTCCTTGTACAGCAGGACTTTACAATAAATAGCATAAATCCCTGGAGGCCTAAATTCAGTGATGGAATCATCAGGGAATGTTCTTCAGCTTTGTCCCCTTCAGGAATTTTTCATACAGTGAGTCCTCAGTAAAGTACACCCTCAAGTGATGTTCCTGCCTCACTGAGCCTTGTTCAGAATGGAGCACCTTTTCCAACAGACAGTGCCCATCTCAACCCCACAAATTTAAATCCTGATAGGGAAAATGGATTGGCAAAAGCAGACTTTTTGAGTCTAGCAAATCAGAACAAGATCTTTGATCCCCAAAAAGAAAATCTAATTATGTTACTTAGTGATTTTACTATGGACATTAAAAGGAGATAGGCAGCCAAAACAAAAGACTTATACAACCTTTAAATGCCTCAGCTATTTGAAAGGTCTAAGAAATATTAAGTTTATGAATCACGTGAAGCACCATTTGGAACTTGAAAAGCAGAGGAGTGACAGCTGGGAAAATCCCACCACCTGCCAGCACTGACACCGACAGTTTCCCACTCCCTTCTAGCTGCAATGTCACATGGCAGTGTGCACACTACCCAGGAGACCTCTGGTGTCTGTAAAATCTGTTGAGTTGTCATTTGAAACAGATCAGGTTCTCTTACAACACACGAAGGGCCATCAATCATTAATCCCTGTGGATGCCCTGTGTGTGCCAGGTTTGCAATTACAGGTCATCGGCCTTTGCCGATGCGGAAGTACATTTCACAAAGTGTCATGTGAACACTAAAAATCTGCTATGTCCATTTTGTCTCAAAATTTTCAAAGCTGGAACACCATAAATGTGCCATTATAGGGGACACTAGGAAAGGAGTGTTCACCAGTGCTGTTCTTCACTTTTTTTTTTTTCTTTTCCCAAT